CAGAAGCTCCAGTCCCAGAACCGACACCTCCAGTCCCAGGGTCTCCAACCTCAGTGTCTCCAGCAGCAGCACCCCCAGAACCAGCACCTCCAGTCCCAGGGTCTCCAGCCTCAGTGTCTCCAGCAGCAGCACCTCCAGACGCAGCACCTTCGGAGCCAGCGACTCCAGCACCTCCAGTAGACAAAGGACCAGCACCACTCCTAGCTCCAGGGACGTCAGCAGAAGTACCTCCAGCAGCAGAGCCCCGGGCTCCAGCAGCGCGACCCTGACGGCGACCGTACCAGTCCTGCAGCTGCTGTGAGGTGAGAGGCACACGTGGACGAAGGCGGCTACTCCAAGGAGACCGCGCAACAGCAGACTCAGAACCCTCAGCGCCCGCACCCCCAACTGCTCCAGAACCTCCGGTGTCAGCACCCTCAGCGCCAGTACCTCCAGCGGCTCCAGAACCTCCAGCGCGAGCACCCTCAGCAGCTCCAGAACCTCCAGCTCCAGCGCCACCAGTACTAGGCCCTCCAACAGCTCCCGAACCTCCAGCGCCAGCACCCTCAGTAGCTCCAGAACCTCCAGCGTCAGTACCGCCAAGCTCAGCACCCCCAGACCCCTCACACTCAGGCTCAGCACCACCAGGCTCCACACCCTAAAGCTCTGCAACCTCAAGCTCAGTACCCCCAGGCTCAGCACCCCCAGGCTCAGCACCCCCAGAAGTAGCACCCCGAGCAGGACCACCCTCAGTAGGACCTGAGTCACTAGTGACCTCAACCGGCGCAGTCAAGGGAGGAGGGTCTACCTGAGAAACACCTGAAGGAGCAGGACCTGGAGCGGGGAGGGGGTCTACCTGGGGAGCACCTGGAGCGAGGAAGAGCGGGGGGGGGGGGGGGAGCGGGGCAGTGCGGTAGGGGAAGAGACGGTAAAAGGGAACCGACTCGTCGAACGTGACGTCCTGAGACGCAAAGACACGGCGCGAGGTGGGGTGGTAAAACTGCCAACCAGGCGCGTCAGGGACAAAGCCAAGGAAGACACAGGGAACAGCGCGGGCGGAGAGCTTGTCCGCGGTGGTATCGCGGACAAAGGCACGAGCACCCCAGACCCGGAAACGCGACGCATCGCCAACCTTCCCCGTCCACAGCAGTGTGAGCGAGGTCTCCGGCAAGGAGACACGGGGCCAGAGGTTGAGCTGATGCGCGGCGTACCAGACCGCAAACGGCCACAGAAAATGGGGGGCAGCCGCATGGATCATGGAGGTACGAGCGACCTCCATGACTAAGCCAATGCGGCGCTCAGCAACCCCATTCTGCTGCGGAGAGGCCGGAAGCGTGAACGTCTGGCGGATGCCGCGCTCCGCACAGTAGGCTGCCAAGAGGTCGGAGGAGAACTCACCACCTCTGTCAGAGTGCAGACGCAGGACAGGAAAGTCCGACCGGAACCGCTCGCGGAGCTGGAGACGAACTGCGCGGATCCAGGGGATCAAAACAGCAGGGACATCCGCCTTGCTCCGCAAGGGGAAGACCGTGGTGTAACGCGTGTAGTCGTCGACAACCAGCAGGAAGTACCGCTCGCGGCCCTGTCCCTGGACGCGGGCTGGGCCCCACACGTCCAGGTGGAGCGTCTGCAGTGGAGCCTCTGTGGGAGGAAACGAGGAGGAGTGAGGAGCGGCGCGCTGCCGCCCCTCGACGCAAGGAATGCAGGGCGGCGCAGGCGAGGGAGGGAGGGCAGGCAGAGACCTGGGAAGACCAGAGACCAGGAAGCGAGAGTGCATGCTACGCAGGCGAGGCAAGGAGGGGTGACCAAGGCGGTGGTGCCACTCCTAGCTCCAGGGACGTCAGCAGAAGTACCTCCAGCAGCAGAGCCCCGGGCTCCAGCAGCGCGACCCTGACGGCGACCGTACCAGTCCTGCAGCTGCTGTGAGGTGAGAGGCACACGTGGACGAAGGCGGCTACTCCAAGGAGACTGCGCAACAGCAGACTCAGAACCCTCAGCGCCCGCACCCCCAACGGCTCCAGAACCTCCGGTGTCAGTACCCTCAGCACCAGTACCTCCAGCGGCTCCAGAACCTCCAGCGCGAGCACCCTCAGCAGCTCCAGAACCTCCAGCTCCAGCGCCACCAGTACTAGGCCCTCCAACAGCTCCCGAACCTCCAGCGCCAGCACCCTCAGTAGCTCCAGAACCTCCAGCGTCAGTACCGCCAAGCTCAGCACCCCCAGACCCCTCACACTCAGGCTCAGCACCACCAGGCTCCACACCCTAAAGCTCTACACCCTCAGGCTCAGTACCCCCAGGCTCAGCACCCCCAGGCTCAGCACCCCCAGAAGTAGCACCCCGAGCAGGACCACCCTCAGTAGGACCTGAGTCACCAGTGACCTCAACCGGCGCAGTCAAGGGAGGAGGGTCTACCTGAGAAACACCTGAAGGAGCAGGACCTGGAGCGGGGAGGGGGTCTACCTGGGGAGCACCTGGAGCAAGGAAGAGCGGCGGGGGGGGGGGGGGGGGGGGGGGGGGGGGGGGAGCGGGGCAGTGCGGTAGGGGAAGAGACGGTAAAAGGGAACCGACTCGTCGAACGTGACGTCCTGAGACGCAAAGACACGGCGCGAGGTGGGGTGGTAAAACTGCCAACCAGACGCGTCAGGGACAAAGCCAAGGAAGACACAGGGAACAGCGCGGGCGGAGAGCTTGTCCGCGGTGGTATCGCGGACAAAGGCACGAGCACCCCAGACCCGGAAACGCGACGCATCGCCAACCTTCCCCGTCCACAGCAGTGTGGGCGAGGTCTCCGGCAAGGAGACACGGGGCCAGAGGTTGAGCTGATGCGCGGCGTACCAGACCGCAAACGGCCACAGAAAATGGGGGGCAGCCGCATGGATCATGGAGGTACGAGCGACCTCCATGACTAAGCCAATGCGGCGCTCAGCAACCCCATTCTGCTGCGGAGAGGCCGGAAGCGTGAACGTCTGGCGGATGCCGCGCTCCGCACAGTAGGCTGCCAAGAGGTCGGAGGAGAACTCACCACCTCTGTCAGAGTGCAGACGCAGGACAGGAAAGTCCGACCGGAACCGCTCGCGGAGCTGGAGACGAACTGCGCGGATCCAGGGGATCAAAACAGCAGGGACATCCGCCTTGCTCCGCAAGGGGAAGACCGTGGTGTAACGCGTGTAGTCGTCGACAACCAGCAGGAAGTACCGCTCGCGGCCCTGTCCCTGGACGCGGGCTGGGCCCCACACGTCCAGGTGGAGCGTCTGCAGTGGAGCCTCTGTGGGAGGAAACGAGGAGGAGTGAGGAGCGGCGCGCTGCCGCCCCTCGACGCAAGGAATGCAGGGCGGCGCAGGCGAGGGAGGGAGGGCAGGCAGAGACCTGGGAAGACCAGAGACCAGGAAGCGAGAGTGCATGCTACGCAGGCGAGGCAAGGAGGGGTGACCAAGGCGGTGGTGCCACAGGAGAGTGTCGTGCGACAAAGCGCGACACTCGCAGGGGGCCGCCAGCTGACCAGACGTAGACGCAGACGCAGCTACCTGAGGGGACTCAGTGGTCAGTGTGTACAGACTCGAGCCAGGTGCACGGGTGAACGTGGCCAAGTGCCGGCCCGTCCTAGCACACGTACAGTGAGTCACTCGCTGACTCGCAGGAGTGAACTGGTCAACCCCCCGATGCGGGCTGCGGGCTGCGCGCGGCTGCAGGCAGGCAGGCCGGCAGGCAGGTCGGTGCGGGCTGCGCGCGGCTGCGCGCGGCTGCAGCGGGCTGCGCGCGGCTCGGTGCGGGCTGCGCGCGGCTGCAGCGGGCTGCGCGCGGCTCGGTGTGGGCTGCGCGGGCTCAGTGTGGGCAGCGCGCGGCAGCAGCGGGCTGCGCCGGCTCGGTGCGGGCAGCGCTCGGCAGCAAGGGGCCTAACAGTCTGCAGGGGCTGTTCGCAGGCCTGAAGGGCGTGTAGGGGCGGCGCGCGGGCCTTACGGGCCTCTAGGGGCAGCGCGCTGGCCTAGGGCAGCAGGAGGCAGCGCTAGGGCTGCTGGACGGCGCGCGTAGTGCAGCACGTCACAAGGCAAGGCAAGGCAGGCAGGTACGTGGGGTAGCGCGGTAACCGCAGCGGTAGGTGGGCCCGAAAAAAAACGGTCCTACGGACCTTAGTGCTCTGAAACCATGTCAGAATCTAGCAGCAGGAATGATTGAACTAGCAGGATGCAGGAGTACAAGTAGTAAACCCTAATTGGGTTGTACCCCATATGGGCTACCCCACTACAGCCTAGACAATATGCAGCACATATAGTTTGACATTGTGACCACCGTCGGTTTTGTCTGCAGTTAGGTCTCGTTGAGACTGGGTCTAGTAGTGATTTCTTGCCTCTTGTTTGCTTGTATCATATATATTAGCTTGTACACTCTTGAACTGGCCTTGTGGCCCCTTGTTTGTGCTCAGACTGTGTGGTGACTTTGTGATCCACCCTGAGCTGTGTTTTCTCTCTTGCTTGTGACTGGTCTTGTGACCTTAGGTTGCGTTTTGTTGCTTGGCATTCCCCACTTAGGCTATGGTGGTGTGTCAAATATTATAGCCTCTAGTGGGTTGTCAATTCATATGCATGTTTAGTTAGGTTAGGCTATATGAGGATTAGTACTAGGGGGGATTAGTACTAGGGGGATTAGTACTAGGGGCTATATGACATTCTTGTACTGCCCCCTTGTGACAGTATATCCTGTACTGAAACAGGCAGCAGCTGGTGAGGGAAGGACATGGATAGTGCATATTCAATTTCTAGTTCAGTTGTTTTTAGTCATGTGACTAGAAGTATCAGTATTTACCACTGCCAACTAAACCACCGAGTACATACAGTATGTTCACCAGAACTTTCTCCAGTGACAATCAATCCGATCAACCATCCATCCATCCTACATCCAACCACCACGCTCCAGCAACCATCCAACTTCCTCCCCTCCCCATGAACGAACACCCCCAATCCATCTCCTTCCCCCCGCGCCCCACACTCCTCACCCCTCCCCCCGCCAGCCCGCGCGCCCGCTCTCTACTTGCGCCACCACAGAGAGACGTCGCGGCGGCGGTGGATCTTCTTCTGCAGCTGCAGCAGCCCGTACAGCAGCGCCTCGGCGGTGGGCGGGCAGCCGGGCACGTAGATGTCGACGGGCACGATGCGGTCGCAGCCGCGCACCACGGAGTAGGAGTAGTGGTAGTACCCGCCGCCGTTGGCACAGCTGCCCATGGATACCACCCAGCGAGGCTCCGGCATCTGATCGTACACCCTGGTAGGGGGAAAGGGGAGAGTGGGGGGAAGGGAAGGGAGGAGTAGGAAGAGGAGATGAAGGGGGAGGAGGGGGGGATGAGAACTGTTGAGTCAACTCAGAGATTGTCGCGGTTCACAGAGCTCCCCTAGACACCACCCACCGCGGCTCCAGAATCTGGACGGGGATTAGGGCATGGGGAGGGCTTGGATGGAGGAACATGGGAAGGGAGGAGAGAGGGGGAGGGGGAGGAAGCTTGGGAGAGGGAGAGACGATTAAGGGATGGGAAAAGGTGGTTTAGCAGCGCGTGCGCAGGATCTGGCGGGACGCCGTCCAGCCTTGTCATGCAACCCCGCAGTCTATGCCTCCCCACCCCTCCACCGTTGACCTTCACCATTGACCTCCACCGTTGACCTCCACCATTGACCTCCACCGTTGACCTCCACCATTGACCTCCACCGTTGACCTCCACCAAGCCTCGTGACAGATCCGCGACCGATCCGTGACGGACGGCGACAAGACGCGGCCCAAAACGAAGTAAACGGCAGTAGATGGAAGGGCGGAGGGCCGGGCGCGGAGGGCGGAGCGCGAAGCGCGGAGGACGGAGGGTGAAAGCAAGAGCGGGAAGCAGAGAGAAGGAACAAGAAAGAAACCTACTTGCGGAGAGCAGGCGCCATCTTATTGGTCAGCGTCCCCGCGACGATCATGACATCCGACTGGCGCGGGCTGGGGCGGAAAATAATCCCGAAGCGGTCGAGATCGTAGCGCGCGGCGCCGGCGTGCATCATCTCGACGGCGCAGCACGCGAGGCCAAACGTCATGGGCCACATGGAGCTCGTGCGCGCCCAGTTCATCAGATCGTCCACCTTCGCCACCACGTAATCCACCGCGGATCCGCCCGCCGCTGGCGCGGCGGAGGGGGCGGCGGAAGGGGAGGCGGAGGCGGAGGAGGACGCGGAGGTGGGTGCGGAAGTGACGATTGCGCGCGCGGAGGCGGGGAGGAGGAAGGCGGTGTGGAGGGGGGTGGGGAGGGCGGGGGTGTGTGCGGAGATGGGGGTGGGCGCGGCGAGGGCGGGGCGGATCGGCACGGAAGCGGTGGTCGTGCGCGCGAGCGCCTGCGCTGCCTTCGGCAGCAGCGAGCTGGCGCTTCGGTACATGATGGCGGTGACAGCGACGAGGGGGAGGAGAAGAGGATGGACGCGGGACGTGAAGGAAGCGGGAGGAGATGAAAGACGGAACGGAATCCGCGTGCTCGTGTGAGGTGAGGAACGGGCGAATGAGATGCACGGTTGTGAGACGAAGTGATGATTCGAGTGATGTCGGATTTGATCGATTCTGCCTGTGTGATCGCAGGCGCGGTCAGTAGAATGGAGAGAACGGGAACTGTCCAAGCGCGACGAGGCCCCTACTTATAAGAACGTAGGGTGTGAAGCTTGAAGCAACACTCTTACCTCCCACGCGCCCGTAACACACGCAACCCAAACTGCTTGCCTAATGCAAGACCTAATTTCACACGCCACCAAATCCCGAGGGGACACGTGACATTCCAGAGCAGGGGGGGAGGATGGGGAGGGGAAAGGGAGGAAGAAAGCGGGCTAGGGAGGGGAAGGGGGGTGACTTTTGGGGGGATTTGAATGGGGAGGAAGGGGAAAAAGAGAGGCGGAAGGCGGAAGGCGGACGGAAGGAATGCACCTAGTTTCAGCATTGCGGTGGTGCTGGCGGAACTGCGGGTGGAGTGGAGTGGCGCATGCACGGAGACGAGATTGCTTGGGGCAACGGAAAGGCAAGATCCCACTTTGAGCAAAGGCATGAGCGAGAGGAAAAAGTGGTACTGTACCATGGTAACAATGGAATGTTAGGCCCGCTGGCCTAAATCCTCTAAAGATTAGCGGGGTCGACTAAGTCGAGGATGAAACGCGGCGGAAGACTTTGGCGAAAGAACTATTGGCGAAATATGCGAAGGAGTTACTGAGTAATGAAAGAGTTGAATGAGAATTCATTGTTATTTGTAAGGAAAAACCCCTTTCCTTATTGTAGTTTATCCAACAGTGTACAACCCCAACTTTCGGAAGTGAACGCTCAGCTACATTGCTTGTTGCCGAAGCACCATCGCGTCGCCTTCGGCTTTCCTTTGCCCAACCTGCACCCAACCTCGTGTTCCCGAGGTTCCTGGCTAGCTAGGTTGGCCCGCTATATAATCGTATGTATTTTCATTGTACCTTTAGTTTATTGAGTCACATCTTCATTATTTGTTAGTCCGCAAACTCTCTTGTACAGCTCATAACACATGGTATCAGAGCTACTTTCCTAGTTCACCCCGCTTTTCGAGTGTAGTTTGGTGGCACGTACGTGGCTGGTACACGGGATTGCAGAACGGTTGGTTGCAAGGTTTGTTAACTCTAACCTACCAAACTCCGATAGTTTTTGCTTTCCACTCGCCTGAAGGTCACGGATACCCCTCTGGTCATTAGACGAAGCGTGCGACTCATAGATCAGGGGAAGTTGAACGAAATGCTGGCGCAAATGCAAGAGCTACAGGCAACAGTGAAGGCATTGACAACGGAGGTTACAACACTACGTGCGGAAAACACCGAGCTACGCCAGCCGCGAGGTAAAGCGCGGCAGAAGTCGCCCGATGAAGAAGGTGGCACCGCCAGCCAGAGAGCAAGTGGAACCGTCACAAGTGGTGGGCTCGCACATTCCTGAAACGACATTGGCACGGTTCGAGCAAACGGTGAACGAGAGTAACACGGGTTACTTAGCACTGGTCATGGCAGCAGCAGAGGAGGAGAAGCCGAGTTCCGAGCTACCTGCAGCAGTGAAGGAGGTCTTGGAGCAGTACAAGGATATAATGCCCGACGACCTACCTGCAGGCGTACCTCCAGCACGCACCCACGAGCACGAGATCGTGGAGGAACCAGACGGCAGTTTACGGATGTGCATCGACTACCGCGCACTGAACAAACAGACAGTCAAAAACAAATATCCCATACCGCGCATCGACGACTTACTGGACCAACTGCGTGGTGCAACAATCTTTTCGAAGCTGGACCTACGGTCCGGTTATTGGCAGATCAAGATGGCGGACAACTCGATCCACAAACGGCGTTTTGTACAAAATACGGCTCTTACGAATACTTGGTGATGCTGTTCGGACTTTGCAACGTACCTGCGACGTTCCAGGCGGAGATGAACCATATCCTACGGCCCCTGCTGGACGAATGCGTAGTAGTGTACCTGGACGACATACTCATCTACTCCAAGAACATGAAAGAGCACGTGGAGCATCTGCGGAAGGTGTTCGAGATCCTGCGGGAAAATAAGTTCTACGTGAAGCTGTTGAAAAGCGACTTCGCACTGAAGAAGGTGCAGTTTCTTGGGCACATGGTGTGTGCAAAGGGCGTACACGTGGACCCGCGGAAGATCGAAGCCGTTAAAAAGTGGAAAGTCCCGGAGAACGTGAAGGAGTTGCAGCAGTTCCTAGGCTTCGCCAACTACTACAACAGGTTCGTGCCGCAGTACGCTAAGATAGCAGCGCCACTGACCGACCTACTGAAAAAGGATACGCCCTTCAAATGGGATGCTCCTCATCAGCAAGCCATGCTCCTCATCAGCACTGACCACAGCGCCAGTACTCATCCTACCAGACCCAGACAAGGACTACGTAGTTGAAGCAGATGCTAGTGAACAGGCAGTACTGATGCAGGACCACGGACACGGTTTACAGCCTATCGCCTACCTCAGTAAGAAGCTACACGGAGCAGAACTAAACTACCCCATCCACGACAAGGAAGCCTTAGCCATAGTCGTAGCCTTCAAGGCATGGAGGTGTTACCTAGAGGGAGCCAAGACCACAGTCTATACTGACCACTGCAGCCTCAAATACCTGAATTCGCAGCCGTCGCTCTCACGACGACAAGTGCGGTGGGTGGATTTCTTGGAGACCCACTTCCACTACGACATCGTCTACAAGCCCGGGCTACACAACAAAGCAGACGCGTTGAGCCGCCCAGGTCATGTAGCAGGCATCCAGCTCGACGGGATGAACCCTCTGCTCAAGGGTCTATTCCAACATGGGTACTCCGTGGACGCAGAGATAGCAACGGCAGAGAAACAAAAGTTGTTACAGTGGGAGGAAGACGGTCCAGGAAAGATTTGGGTACCGAACTACGCCCCGCTACGGCAGATCCTATTAGAGGAGTTTCACGACGTACCATACGCGGGACATTTCGGGAGCAACAAAACGTTAGCGGGAATAGCGAAGTATTACTACTGGCCCCGAATGGCAGCAGACGTGCAGCAGTTCGTCACCTCCTGCGACACGTGCCAGCGGATGAAGAGTAGCAAGCAGAAAAAATCAGGGTTACTTCAGCCTCTACCCGTACCGGAGCAACCATGGCAGGTCGTTAGCCTCGACTTCATCACGGGACTTCCTTCGACCTCACGAGGGCATGATTCCATCCTCGTAGTGATCGATAAGTTCTCCAAAATGGGTCACTTCATACCGACCAACGCCACAGCCACTGCTGAAGCAACTGCTCGACTCTTCTTCGACCGCATCATCACCATCCACGGCATCCCCGCTACACTCATCTCAGACAGAGACCCAAAGTTCACTAGTAAGTTCTGGAGGGAACTCATGGGATTGTTGGGGACAAAGCTTGCAATGTCTTCAGCGTACCACCCCCAGACTGACGGACAGACAGAGTGACTCAATCAGGTGGTTGAACAGTTACTGCGCACAGCTTGCAAAGACGACATCAGCCACTGGGACACACAGTTACCGACCCTAGAGTTCGCTTACAACAACGCCTCGCATGCGGCCACAGGGAAAACTCCTTTCTTCCTGTGTTACGGACGGGAACCACTCACACCACAGCAGCCAACCACACCGGCACACGTCCAAGCCGCACACGACTTTGTCACCACCATGCAGCAGCTATGGGAGAAGACTCAGCGACGTCTCACCACGATGCAGAACTCCCAAAAGCAGTATGCCGATCGCCAACGACGAGATCACTCAGTAGCAGTCGGAGATCAGGTGCTTCTTGACACGCGCAACTTGAACCTGTCTCACCTACCATCCAAACTCCGGCCTCGCTTCTGTGGTCCTTTTCTCGTAGAGGCACAGGTGACACCAGTTACATTCCGCTTGCGCTTACCAGATACATGGAAGCTTCACAACGCTTTCCATGTTCAGCTACTGAAGCCCTACAAGGACCCCAACCAACAGTTCCAGGGACGGCAGCTACCGCCACCTCCACCTGTTCTTGTGCAGGATGAACCCGAGTACGAGATCGAGCGCGTTCTCACTCATCGGCGCCGCGGCGGCAAGACCCTCGAGTTCCTGATACGCTGGAAGGGATACGACCCCACTGAGGATAGTTGGGTTGCCGACGCTGATATGTGTCAAGATAAGCGGTAGTCTTAGGAGCCATAGCTAGGAGAGTCCTAGCTAGGCAAGAGAGTTTAGGCGAAAGAGGAGGGTTGCACTAGCAAGAATGGGGATACAAATAGCAAACCCTAGAAGGGTTGTACTCGCTACAGAGCACCCCACTACAGGCTATAGCATAATATTCTGACACACCCCCATAGCCAAAGTGGGGTGTAATCAGCAGAGCAAGCAAAGCAGTACAAGCTCAGGGTGGATCACAATGTCACCACACATTCTGAGCACAAGTTTAAGAAGCAATAGTTTAAAGTTCACAATTATGAGCAAAGCTAGTGGTAGTCACAACGGGCAAGTGAGGAGGAGGAGGGCTGGCGAGAGGAGAGTAGATGGGAGGCGACGACTGAAGCTGCAGGCACACGGGCAACAGAC